ATGTGTTCCCTAGGGTTTAAATCTGAAGTATATTTAAGACTATAAAATCTATACAAATGGGCGAATAAATACAAATTGTATAATCACTCGGGAACTACAGTAACTCGGTGGTCAAGTTAAGTACACCTACTCCACTTACTTATTTTTGGTTCTAGTTCCGTGACTGACTAGCAGAATCTTTCTTGAGGATGTAGCAGTCTTTCAGTCGGTCAAGAAGTTTTCTGCTTCTTATGAAATCCGAAGTTTATTTGTCGTAGACTCATTGGATGTTGTCCTGAAGTAGAAAAATCAAGTCCGCTATTAAACATATTCAGTGTGAGCACAACAGTTTCCAAAACAGAAGAACAGAATAATTATTACACGAAAAAAAATATGTCGTTGGCAGGAAATGGAAACAGTGCATGTAGTTCCTTAAACAATCTGAATCAGATAAAAACAATCTCAAAGTGACATTTGACAGTCATTTCAAATACCACACAACTCACGCAATAAAATTAAAAAAAAATCGTGGTTTTAGTCCGCAAGCGAACTATACCGACCGGGCGAACGCCGCTTATCGGCGAAGTTATTACCAACTTTGCCGATAGAGGTGTCGCGTGGTCAGCGTATCGAATCCTCACGGCAGTTAATTTCGGTTTTCCAGACCGGAGCCTCAATTTCCTTTAAATATCTCCTCAATTATCCTCACGAGGCTGAGTGAACCCCGTTCCAGACCCACTACTTTTCAGAAAATCTGGTACCGCCGGGAAACGAACCCGGACTTCTGGGTCTGAAGTCAGGAACTCTGACTACTAGACTACAGAGTCGGTCCAACTCATCAACCACCAGCTTAAAAATATAATTTTAAAAATATGTTGTGTTGTTAGAAGAATTCTGTATAATCTTGTGCAACTCATATTTTTCTTAATGTTTTTAAATAGTTTAAGACTTATGCAATGAACACCATTGTGGCATTCAGCGGGACTACGTAGCTGTAACTCTCCGAACTCCTCTTCGGGAGGTACTCAGTTCGAACCTCGACCGAGGCACCAGTTATCTTCACGTATTCCACGGTTTTCGTCAATCCTCCCAGACAAATTCCGGGATAGTACCTCTATTATGCCACTATGTTTTCCTTCTAAATTCCCTCCAATTCATTATCCGTTATCCTATCATTCGATTCTCTCTATCCTAGACACTGACAGACCTCAGAATGACCCACAGAAAACACTGTAAATTGATTCATGCAGCAGGGCCCTTCTTGAGGACATAATAGTCCCGCAGCTAGTCAAGATATTGTCAGCCATTTGTGTCACCTGAAAGTTCATCACTGTTTTTACAGCAGGTCGCCACTGCTTACCATTCTGAGGCAAATAAATCCATTCTCTGCTCTCACACACAATTTCTTTGAGATTCCCTTTACCCTTACCCACCCATGTCTGTCGGTATGTGATAAAAATATACACTGCGCCCTTATACAATGAATCTCCGAGTGGGTATGAGAACAGAATATCATGACATTAATTTGGAAGCGTTCAGTGCAGACAAACAGATCCTGGCAAACATGCTGGGTATAAAACTGAAAGGGGAAAGGGGAAATCTTCTTCGTGATTGATGCTACCATTCAAACCGACAGGAATTGTAAGCAGGAAGTTGAGAAGAAGCTGAAAAATAAGAGTGTCGGAGAAATTTGAGATAACCATTTGCAGTTCTAAATTTTGAACCGTAGAAAATAGGACCATCTGCGGTCCAAGAGGAGTAAGTAAACATTTAAGCACGCATTTGGATGAATTTGTAATAAAAACGACATTAGAATTAATGAAGAAACATACATATCTAAGGGGTGCGAGCAGTAGCGTAGTTGGTCGAGGCACTATGCTACAAGCCGGATGGTCGCGGGTTCGAATCCCTATGAAGTGGATTTTTTTTCCCAATTTACTTAATGCCTCCACCCACACTATGGCCCTGGGGTAGACTCAGCCTCTAACAGAAATGAGTACCAGGAATTTTCCGGGGGAAGGGGGAAAAGGGCGACCAGCGGGTAAGGCTGGCAACCTCACCGCCATCTGTGAACAGATTATCTAGAAAATGTGGGAGCCTCGACATCTCACAACTCTATGGGCCTCAACGTCATATTACAGGAATAGCTTTACCTTTTTATACACATTTAACAACCAGAAGGAAACAAGTACACGTGGACATTGTAAGGAGTGCATATTGTGCCAGCTGTTCTTTGAGGGAAACTGATATTATTACACTTTAGAGCTCAAAACTACGGCAACCCGAAATGTAAACTGTTTTCCTTAAGTCCGAAAATCATATAACACCGTTGGGAAATAACGTACGATTATATTTTTGTACGTGTAGGCAGAGTATTGTATTAATGACAGAAACCATAAATTCTGTAGTAGCTGGCTGTTGTATCGACGACCAAAAAATCTTTAAATCTTTTGCCAAGTTCGTAATGATTCAGACACTGCGTCATTCTCGTATTTAATAATTACTAGGAGTAGGGACGGTCGGAACCGGAAATGGACCGTTCTCTTCACCTACTTCCGGTTTCTGATAATCAATTTAGCATTATTTTGAATATATGCACAGTGTGCTGTTTAATGCGGTTAGCATCACGTTATGGAGGATGAGGTGTACAGGTCATGTAGCACGAATGGGGGAGACGAGGAATATGTATAGGTTATTGGTGGGAAAGCCAGAAGGAAAGAGACCACAGGGAAGACCAAGGCGTAGGTGGGTGGACAATATTAGAATGGATCTTAGAGAGATAGGATGGGATGGTATGGATTGGATAGATCTGGCTCAGGATAGGGACCAGTGGAGGGCTCTTGTGAACACGGTGATGAACCTTCGGGTTCCATAAAATGCTGGGAAATTCTTGAGTAGCTGCAGAATTGGTGGCTCCTCCAGAAGGGCTCAGCTCCATGAGTGAGTAAGTAAGCATCACGTTATGAGAATTGTACTTTTGTTACTAGTTTCATATCCCTCAAGTACGATGATATACTACCTCCTACAGTAGGTTCCTAATGAGAACTCCGTGGCTGGTACGAATTGTGTTAATGCCTGTTCGTCTCATATAGAGTTTACTGTTTAATCATTTGTGTTTAATGAATTATAAATTAATATGCAGCTTCAGCTGCTCTGTTATACACACATTATTAATTCTCTACAATAAAATATAACCACAATTTTGCCTCATAAAACATATCTCATTAGGTCTGAATCGACTTTTATATTGTCTGCTTATTATCAGGCTGACAAGAAGAATAGTAGGCCTTGCTTGAGTCTTTTATGACTTTGTGCATGCTTCAACGAGGTTTTGAAGTGAATAAATTCATAAAGTTATATCACAGATGAAATTAAGCTTTGCTTGCTTGAAGGACTGCATAAACAGGCTTTGCCTTGTAATACAATTTAAAATGCATTTTCTAGAAAGTACTTATGAAGTTTACACTTCTTTAGAAGTTTCCTTCTCTGTGACGAGAATTGTAAGAACAATTAATTAGTAACTATGTAATTTAGATATCTATATCCTAGAATAATTTCCATTAGTAAGAATATATCAATTTTTACAGAGTACAACTTTTGAAGCTTGCACATTTCTCGTAATTGTATCTCTTAACACACAAACATATTTCATATGGAATTTGTAGATATGTTTAGATTCAAGCCGTATACAAGCTTGAAGAATTTTGTGCAAGAACCGGTTAAGCCCCTATTATTGAAAAATATGTTATAATTATTTCCATGTTGAAACAAATTCCGAGCCTTTTTTAGTGCAAGAATGAGATCAGTAAGGCCTACAGAAGTTGAAGTTTTGTCTCTGAAATTTCATTTTAGGCAATTAAATCAGGTATTCTTTGAAATTTTATCTCTTTTTAGTGAAATTATGTTTTTGGACGTTACTATTTATTGTATCAAGCCCTCCAATTTCATACGAATAGCTCCTGTGGGGCGTTAATACCTACTTGGAGGGACACCGAAGCATAGTTTTCGTACGACCGCCATGTTGTTGCTTAACACATCCATCACAGCTCCCTCAGTCCGAAGAGTAATCACCATTAACAGAGAAGATGGTCACTGGATAAATTCCCAAACAGTTCCACCTACCTCCAATACCCTAAGCTACTTTCTTAAGGTTGTCTTTCCTCTTCTTGGTGTTCTGAGTGGAAGGTTTTGGAGAGGTTTGGTCATCAAAATTCTACATATCGAAACAAATGTTACTGTGCCAAATTCATGGACCCCATAGGGAGATGTATTAGTGTTGCTTCCATATCAGAAGTTTGTACAACAAGCATGTATATAAAAGTTTATTTTTGATGATAGGAAATTGAGAAGTACAAAAGAAGGATTATTATATTGATCTGGACTTAATAAACATCGGTTTATTGATTCTAAATTCTTTACATAGGACAATAACACCGACAGGTTAATCTACCATAACCTTACTTTTCCTTATAAAATATGCATATGAGGTTAAATAGAAATGTCCATGCATTTCGATTTTCTAGCGCCTTTAAAATCTCTCGAGAACATATAACAGTTTCAATTTTGCCAGAAAATGACGCAGAGATTGTAACAGGACCTGTGCTCCGTTCAGGTCGTCCTTTGATAAGAAAAGTCTTGAGTAGCGAATATTAATCAAATCTTTTCAACCGTCTGCCGCTAGCAAGATCCACTTCCTTCAGACTATCCATTCATCCGAACATACATACATACATACGTACATATATACATACAGACTTACTAAGGTGCATACGTATATAGAGACAGACTGTTTCTCTAAACCAATTATTCGTAATCAGTTGGGTTCAGAACTTATAACTCCATCAAACGCTCGAGTTCAATTTTTTCACGATCATAGTATTGTCCCACAGAGATATTTGGTTTTCGGACTTTATCCATCGTCCTGGTTTTTAAGATAACTAAGAAAAACACGACGTTTCGGAAACTGAATCTGTTTCCGTCCTCAGGTGACGGAAAACACCTATTCTTTTGGGTCCCTTAGAAAGAGCTAGCCTCAATCCAGTGATTGAGGCTGTGTGTTATACACCATCGTCAGAATCCTATAGTAACTAATAATATTGTCCCCTTTATTCTCTGTTCGAGTAGATGAGAAAGTGATATTTAGACGCACACAGAAGTGAAGGAGCCATTTAGAGATAAAAATGTTTGGCAGAATACAGAAACACATTCTACATGATAATCCAAAGAGAAGACCTCGGAAAACACGGAATGAATAGGTGGAGTCGGAAGAGCCTGGTTGCTTAAAACATGAAATGAAGAACGAGTTAAATTTTGAAATGTCTTCTGTGCGTATTATGTTTATACATGGGCCTACTTACATTAATTTACTAGTTATATTGGTATATTGACTAGTTGTCTTATATTTTGATAATTATTTCTCTATAAAAGTTACTCTTTTGGTTTCATTGACACGAACTGTCATATAAAGTTGTTCCCTTATTTTCCAGTTTTTCAGGCAGTGCGTAATAGAATCACTGAGACTTTGGTTTCACTGAGGTAATAACTTTTCCACGGTCCAGTTATTTCAAATTATCAGAAAGTTGTTGATTTGTTTTGAATAAATGCACTTGCCACCCGTTGCTTATGTGCTTGTTGGGAAAGTTGCTTGAAGTTTTGAAGCTGAGTTGGGACTAACCAAATACGAGTCGGTAATGGTTAAAGCGCGAACGGCGCCAGCCGTAATCTGGCATATGCTTCTTCCTGTCAAGCTAAGCTGTTCTCATGCAGGATTAGAGCCACTGAGCTGTTAGTTTAAATGACTTTACTTTGTGCCCTATATCATTATAAATTTTTATATTTACTGATTTTTAGTAGTCCCTAAATGTATTCGTAACGAGTTTCAGGCCATTATCGCTGTGCTTCATATTTTAATGCTTTTATTATATATCATAAATCAATCATATTTAGATACAATTTATCGTCGGTGTTTCAGTGAGTAAAATCCGATTACAGCTGAATGGACATGCACGACTGCACACAGATAATTACAGAAGTAAGTTGTCAATGCTATTATGTTGGCCTACTGTGTCTTGTTATTAAATTTGTGTGTTCTTGTTTCATTGATAGCATAGTTCTTCCTTCCTTTTCACTCGTCGTTTTTCGTGAGGAAATTCCATTTCAGTTTCTATATACGGCAGTTCCTCAGAGACTGTTTTACCGAAACATTATTGTTCTTTATCATTTAAACATCATATAATTTAAAATTTAAAATAAAAAGGGACAGCCATGGGCACATTTGTTAATTACAGTGAAACTCTTGATCATTCGCTGTTTGTTATAATTAGTTTGGCTGCCTGTATCCTCCCCGGGACGCCATTGTCATCAAAACATTTCGATCTTTGCCACCAAATCCCAACATTTTCTTGAAGGCTCTTTTAAAGTTTGTGTTACAGAGAGGATAGAGAATAGGGTTAAACGTGGAGTTTATGTACCCGAGCCATATGGTAGCAGTGTGAACGAGTGGATTGACACAGTCACTGCAGAAAGCTATAACCGTGAACAAAACAAAGTACGGTAGCCAACAGAGGACGAACGCAGCCATGATGACTCCCAGTTGACGGGCAGCTTTCTTTTCCTTCTGCAAAGTTACAGAATCAGAATCGTTGTTGCGTCTTTTAGTCGTGTTCTTATGTGCGAAAGTGCGTCGATATTGGCTGCCGGCAGAATTCTCACGGATGTGGTTCCCATCTTTATACTTTGCATCCATCGTCGTTGTGGTGAGTTCCACGTATTCCACGTTCACCGTAACACCTTCAAAATGCACAAAACCTTCACTCTGAGTACCTTCAGATTTATATGAAAGCACAGTTAGATTTCGGAACTGGTGCGTCTCTCCAACTATGACGTTTTTCTTCCGAAATGGCTTAGACTTTGATCGTAAAAGATTTGGAGGTTGCTCGTCTACAAGGGAATCAGTGCCCCACACAACACCGGGGCCTATTTCTATTCTGTTACTGTGATTGCACTGTCCGAGGTCGAAGCGGCTGCGTTTCTTAATCTCGAAGTATATACGTCCATATAAATACACCATGAGCAATGTGGGGATGTAGAAGTTGAGGCAAGCGGCAGTTACTTTGAAGGCAACATTGCTCGCAAATTCTGTTTCACACACAGTAGGCGGGTACATGCGTTTTCCTCCCGACTCAATGTAATGCCAGCCGATGATTGGCAAGATCCAAAGTGCAGATCCGATCCACACGAGACCAATCATGATAATGGCTCTCTTCTTGGTGCGACGCCTCAAGTACCTCAGTGGCGACGTGATAGACCAGTACCGGTCCATGCTCAGGATGAACAAGTTCAGAATGGAAGCCGTGGAGGCAGTGTAGTCGGCCGACAGCCAGAACTGGCACACGGCGAGACCGAACACCCATTGACCTGCGGAAACACAAACACAGCCATATTATATGCCTCAAACATTAACAAATGTAGCCACATGGTACTTAGAATTTCAAGTTCTCACGGCGATGGTTCTGAAGAACAATATCTTCTGAGATATAGCGCCATGTAAAAGGTAAACGGTAAAGCTATCCCTGTAACAGTCCGTGAAGGCCCATAGGGTTGTGAGACGTCGAAGCTCCCACATTTTCTGTAGACAATCGGCTCACAGATGACGGTAAGGTTGTCAGCCTTACGTTCCGGCCGTCCATAACCCCCAGGAACATTTCTGGTACTCATTTCTGTTAGAGTCTGATTCGATTCCAGGGCTATAGTGCGGCTGAAAGGATTAGGTAAATTGAAATATCCACCTCATCGGGACTCGAACCCGCGGCTTTCCGGCTTGTAGCATAGTTCCTCAACAAACTGCGCTCCGGGATATAACACCATGTAGCCTGTTGGAAGCCAATCGACTTTTCGGTGGAAAATATTGCCTCCATCTTCAAACAAGAAAGCTCTGCTTCCTACATATTCCTCCGAAATGTCAGTGGACTTGCAGCAGCATAAGCGGCATTATATCTCAGAACATAATATAATCTTCATAGGCATACTTTGTTAGAAGCTGAACTGGAATAGATAGAGTAGCATCCCCCGGAATATCCTCAGCACACGGAGGTATGACTGAACTTTTATTTCGCACTTTGTAAATGCGCATGGTTGGATGAAAGATGATAAGTAAGCTACCCGTTGCAAGGATCGCGGCTCTCATTAAGGTATAAATTAACCAGTTTCTTTATACTTTGATTAAGACCGTCAGAACTGTGGTCGTAAGTGAATGCTCTGGTGTGTGATTGACTTTCGGTTTCCTTGGCCATAAATTCTGCTAGACGATTCGGCAAGCTGTGCGTCTCACTCCAGAGAAAATTTATTTTGTCTATACCTATGCTCTAAATCAACGAAAAAATGAGATGGGATATTGTTTCCTTATACACAACATTTTCGTTAAAAAAAACTTTGTTTCTTGTGTTGAAACACAAAATAATTCGAGAACAATTTACATAACGCGTAAGATTTCAGGTTTCTACGGCCGTGACTATCAAGAATGCTGTCTCCTGGGATGTGGAGCCGGGTAGATGTGTGAACCGACGTTCCTCTGGCATACTTCATAATTTACGTAACGCTTGATGGGGGGTATCCAGTACAAGAGGCTGTATAAACACTGCTAACGTACTGTACAAGAAAACCTCTCAATAAAACTGGGCATTTGACGAAACCAAATCATTATGCCGAATATGTGATGAGGTTAATGCAAGGTAACGTAAAAATATAACTGTAAATTGTCAGAAAAAAAAGTGCAGTGATTGCTTAGGGCTTCTACAGGAGTAGAATTCACACAGGGTGATAAAGAGCATCAAAGAGAAAGACAGAACACCATTACTGCCCTGAGCCCCGCCACTTCCTTCTGCAGTCCTTGTTCTGCATTGGTGTTCTGTACCACAAACAGGCCAGGATACACAAGCGATTACGTCATATTTAAATCCCCGGAGACGGGACGGGTTCAAACCTCTGATACAAATATTAGTGCGTTATTGTTTACTCTGTTTTACATACGAGAGATTTCGACAATACCTGGCTTACACAGCTCTGTGAAAAAACAAGGGAAGCTTTTCTGCACATTGGTTTTCAGTCCGCCCATTGCAGATTTACAAACAATACTGTTTTATGCGCGTATTAGAAAAAAAAGAACTGTCAGAAAGAAAATCTGACCCGGAAAATAAGTTCGAATTAAATGGTAATTAAGTGGACACTTTCTTCTTGGGACTTAAAATTCTTTCGAAAATCTTACAAATCATAGTGCGGTTAGAAATCATAAATCATCAATGATTTATCTGAGTGTGGGACTGTCTGTGCTTCTTACGTGTTTCATGACAGAGAAGTGAAGCGACTGATTGCTATTTGAAAAACATTATATTATTTTTTCAAAGTGTGCTTGTTTTGATGACTAATATAACTGCATTTGACGTAGGATAAATACGATCCTTATATTTTAAATATTAAAAGTTAAATCCAGAATCAGCTATAAAGAGGGGGAACTTTTATGTTCGATTAGATTACTTCGGTCTAGAAGATTCATGCGCCATCTGTAGACACTTTTATAAAGTTTTTGCGGCTCTCATGGGTACATAAATCAGTGCTACGTCTTGCTTAAATTGTATCAAATCACAGACGTCCCTGCGTAAAGTATACTTACAGATCCTACAGAATGTAATGTAATATAACATTTTTATTTAATATGCAAACTGGTTATTTCAACATTATCTAAACCAAAGTGCGATACTTATGATGTGTGAATTGTATGATATATTTATAAATATATTTTGGAGGTAATGGTGGTTTCACGATGGGTCTTGAAGGAAAGAACATAATACACCCACGATACCATCCTAAGAGATTTTGTTTTAAAAATGGTGTATAAAAATATGCCATAATTTTGCTTTAGATTTTAGAAAATAAAAAAGTATTTCTTCCACCACAGTTGAATGTGAGATCGGAGACGTTTTAAAATTCGATGCTGTAGACTGCAATTGAAAGTGACGGTGAAAAAAAAAGTTAAAATCTTTCTAATGAATTTTTAACTGGAAGCTAAATACTTCAAGATGTCTTGTTATGTATCTACTTAAACTAACGTTCGGGTCTTAGTCGTTCAGTTTGTCGGGTTACTCTTTCCAGGAATTTCGTTTGATATTTTTTTTTTTTTTAAAATTTCAGCTGTGACATGGAGAGTTTCCTACACATATCCCAAAAGAAAATCAATATCTCATGTTGGATTCAGAACTTATTTGTACTCCTGAAAACACCAAATTTCTTTATTGTTTCAAAGAGCGAAAGCTTAGGAGAATGGACTTTGAATAGTTATTTATATTGATACAATTTTGCAGCTAAATTAATGCTCAGAATCACAGGGTTTTGGACTTTGTTCATAGTTCGGTATTCTAGAAACTGGAAAACACAATATTTCAGAAATTGGATCTGTTTCCCTCCTCAGACGAGAGGGAGACAGTAAGTGACTCCCCCCTCACCTGAGGACGGAAACAGATCCAGCTTCCGAAACGTTGCGTTTTCAAGTTTCTAGAATACCGGATGATGGACAAAGTCTAAAAACCCAGCGATTCTGAGTGTTATACAACATCGTCAGAGCCCTTTAGAATCCAAATTAATGCTGTCTGTAAGGCAGAAAATGTGTGACCTACGATCGAGTTTTCATTTCAGTTTCAGCAGCTCAACTTTATAAATGTTCGACATTCAAATGACTTCATTTTCCAAGAGTCCTTTTTGTAATGTTCGCGATAACTAGCCCCGCTTTCATCTCTCGCATGGCGATGTAGAGGGGGCGTATGACTGTGGAGGACACAGATGGAAGCCGTGGAAATGACGGTGATTTGCTTGCTGTCAGGTCAAGTACCTTCGGTGTAAGTCGGAATAACACAAAAAGAAATTCACAGTAGTTCGATCTTTTATTTGTCTGAAATTAGTGAGGTAAAAAATTGTAGAGAAGAATGCCAGGGATCCATCTGTACGTTCATTTTGCCTTTTAGCACGTCCTGTCTTTAAGTAACAAGTCAGGAAAATGCCAGATACAGCAAACCCTCGCTAATCCAGAGTAATTTGGGAGGAGGATTAAGCAATAATCCAGATTAGTGAAGCAAAAGGTAGCCCTAAAAGACAAAAACTTAGAACAAAAACAAATGGAAAGTGTAAGGACATAACTAATGCTGATGGAATAAATAAAAAGAATATCACTGTACAGCCTTTACTTGAAAACTATGGAAATACAATATTTTTAATCATCAATAGAAGACCCAGAAGAAGTTGTACTTGTTTAATAATGCAGTTCTGAAGAAACTGTCGAGTTTTGTCTGAACAGACAAGTGACTCACCTGCCTTCTTAAATGGCAAGTGTCTCTTAAAGTACGTACTCAAATGTAAACAGCATTCATCATTTTTCTTTTATACTTTCGTATTATCCGACATCCGGATTAACTGTAAATGGATTAACGAGGGTTTGCTACAATACAATTTGATCTCTGTAAGCGATACAGAGTATAAAATATATGCGAAGAAGAGTAAAGTAACAAATTTTAATTGCTGATAAAGTAAATGTATTTCTCCTCCAACGAATATAATAGAATGTGTGTGTGTGTGTGGGTGGGTGTGTGTGTGGGTGTGTGGGTGTGTGTGTGTGTGTGTGTGTGGTAGATGCATAGATCGGTTAATTATATACTCTAAGAAATCCTATGATTCTCAAGAAAGCAGTCTTCTGGGATTTGGCACCGTGTATATGTGGTGTTAACCGACGTTCCTCCGAAACGTCGGTTAACACCACATATACACTGTGCCAAATCCCAGAAGACTGCTTTCTTCATAGTCACCGCCGTGAAAGCCTCAAATCTTACAAATCCTACGATTCATTTGGCAAAAAAGTTACGAATATTTAGTTGGGTTTCGAATATTATGTTGGACATTTTCCACTGCCTGATGCGTACTTAGCATGAACAAGGTCTCGGAGGCAGCGCTACTCCCAGTTCCAGGTGACTGCTTGTCGCTACAGTGACAGACATTTATGCCTTTTTATTTTGATATTATTGGCGATGATTGGGATGGAACCCAGGGGCACTTTATTAATATGCTGTGGACATGACACGAAACTAAACTATATAATTCAATAAAGCAACAGTGTATAAGCAAATATATATTTGACTAAATGTGTGAACATGACGTAAAATCAAACTCTTATCTCCGGTAAAGAAATTACTTTACAGCGCTTAAGCATATATATAGGTCGCGTCCTACCTCAAGCGGTTAGTCGCTGGCTTCCCACCGCGGCGGCCCGGGTTCGGTCCCGGGTCTGGTCAAGTGGGATTTGTGGTGGACAAAGTGGCGCTGGGGCAGGTTTTCTCCGAGTACTTCGGTTTCCCCTGCAAATCTTCATTCCACCAACTGCTCCACAATTACCCTCACCTCTCATCTGGGGCTGGTACAATAGGCCAGAAGTGGCCGCAGAACAAGGGACTTAGTCCCACCCCACTAGCAATAAAAACATATATACACGTATATGAGACTAAATATATGAACATGACAAGCAACCACAATTAGTAACAAAATTATAATATAATTTGTATGTCTAGTAAATGATTTGAAAATATTATCAATTTGAAATGCCAGAAAACAAGATTAGCAAACAAACGAGTTTCACAATTAAATCAGGCACATAATAAACGCTGTAAGCGTTGTTATTAATCAGTTCGAAAGCTGTTATTAACTAACTAACTAACTAACTAACCAAGGAAAATGCCTCAATGCAACGGGATGCTGAAATATAATATTTCATATAACTTGTTATAAAAATATACATTAAAATATTTAACAGTATATATGGAAGAATCGTACGAAAGAACAACTTTCCTGAAGTAGCGAGGCATGGAGGTATTTATGTGAGGCACGAAAGTTGCGACATTTCACGCTGGATATATGCATCACTGATTTATACCGTTATTCTAAAGACTATTGAAAACGATAACAGTGTACGAAGTGGTCACTTGACTGTTAATTGTTGGATATATTTTTTCCTCCAAGAAAATCTACCTGTATTTAAATCTGATATTAATTAACCTTGCTATTCTAAGCCTGCTGAAATCTAATGTCTAAAGAATATATACAAACGCGCATGTACCTGTACATATACAGACAAAGGAAAAATAAATGAATAAGGGAAGAAACTAGCAATGAACATGTAGATTTTGAGGGTCTCGCAGCACTTGTTTCGAAGAGTTCTGGATATAATGCCGCTGGAAGTTAACGGACGTTTCGGAGGAACACGTGGCTGCCAAAATCAGAGCTGAAGAGTGAGACAAGCAAGAGACCAGCACGCGGCAGGTAACAAGAAGAGCCTGCTCGCCGCCTGCTGGTCTCTTGCTTGGCTACATGGAATTATTCCCCACATGACAGAGTTCTTCAGAAAGGAACGTGGTCAGGAAGAAACACGAGAAATGGATAAGCAAGAAAAAAGTCGCGTTGTGAGCCAAAGCGAGATTCGTTGGTGTGTAACCGGCCACATATAGCGCGGGGGGATAAATCCCTTAACTTACCAACAAGGATGTGATAATGTGCTGCCTGGTCAGGGCTACTGTACACCTCAGGAGAAATGGTTACATGACGAAACCGATTCTCTGCAAATCTTACAACGTATATATATCTATAAAATAAGGTAGATTAGGAACATATCATAGCAGATGCGAGTATTATTTTATTTAATATCAGCTGCAAGTACAGTGGAAGCCCTCTTACCGTGCAAACCTCCCTCACTTCTATCTCTCTAACCAACCCCTGCTGTTTATATTACTCTAGCGGCATTTCCACTGCGAGGGAGTAGAACCCCGCCGGCAAGCGACGTCAACTGTTAGCTAAACTAACCACTTCTTTATTAAAAATAAGTTTTGAGTACACAGTACTGTATATATGTCTATACAAGGTTTGAATATGACAATGAACAGCGTATTAAAGAGAGAAAAATATTTAAATATGTAATTATATATGAGATATTATCTGTAATACATGAAAATATTAATCTAAAACTTCACGTGCATTGAAATCATTAATTGTACCAGCTTTTTGCGAGGTACAGTAAATATGAAAATTACTCGCTGGGCGTATCCACGTCTTCCATTCCTTACCGGTGATGGCGTACACAGAGCTGATGGGCATGACGATGCCACCCACTGTTATATCAGCAGCAGCCAAACTCATGATGAACATATTTGACACCTGAAACGAAACAAGACGCCATCATTCTTCGCATTAAATGTTACCTTGTCACTTTGCCGCCAGGGGAATATTCTGTTCCTTTCACCTTCCTAATCGTGCCTGCATCAAGTCCAGTGCAGATGGAGACCTATATCATTTTGCTAATGAAACGCCTATCAAATATACGTGCCATCAAAGCACCAGATTTATTGTGTTCAGATTCGTATATTTTTTCCTTTCAACCCACATTTCTATTGTTTTGCCCTTTCCTGGGACGTCAATAACAATGTCACTGAAAAATGGGGACAGATTTTGAGCAAGAGTTTTACATACAAAAATAAAGAAAATAAAATCAACATGTGTCCAGAAACATTTAATTTGTGAGTTACAGCTTAAAGAGTACATTTATAGTACACGTAAGTGCTCAAAATGTCCTCCATGAGATTCGATGCACGCCTCGACACGTCTCGAACAGCAGAATCAGTTCAAAGATGCCGGGGTAGTTTCTGTTAGTCTGACAGGCATCCATAATGCAGTGGTGAAGTACGCCTTCGTCGTCAACAGGAGCTGCATGCAAAGGGGATTAAGGTGTCGTCACATGTAGAAATCCAGAGGATTCAAATGTGGCGAACCGGGAGGCCATGCATTGGGTCCTCCTCTACCTGTCCACCGGTCATGATGGTGCTGCTGAGAACATCTTGCGCAGCTCGGCTAAAGTGTGTCGGAGCATCATAACACATTTTTGCATCTCTGACTCAAAAATGAAATGAAATTCGTGCCCAAAATTTGTCAGCATCTTCCAGATACATCCTGTATAGGCATCCTGTCAGACGGGACATACCACTGTTTGCCTCATACTATTCGTATTTCTAATATCCAATATTCGAATTGAGCCCAGGGGAAGGTTATCCCTTTTTGTTCTTATGTTTTTATGCAAAATGCAAATAATGAACTCATTATAGATATCTTATATTCTATAGTTTCCACTTTTAATTTGTGAAACTGTTCAGCGAATGTCAATAAAATTTGGAATTTTCGCTTATATTAAGATTTATCGAATGAATTTTACATTGGTCCATACAGGTCAAATACAAGCCCTGCTTTACACGAAGCTTAGACAGAAGTTCAAAACTTTCTCAAAGGACGCCTGCAGTATGTAAACAAATTGTATCACCACATGGAATATAGAACAACTTCATTCATTCATTCATTCAGCTGTGGCTCGACAGCCCCTGTTGTACATTGACTTCTTTCTCAGTTTCTTAATCTTTTACACATTCGGTAGGGTCCCTTGGACGGGAGATCAGTCAGTCGCAATGCCGCTACCTGCAGACAGGACAGCAGAAACAATAAATGCACACAGACATCCATGCCTCGAGTGGGATGGAACAACTTAATATGTGTTATTTTTATTAGAATACTTTTCGATGTGACATATTCTTATCAAAACACAAGGGAACTAATTCTTATGTTCACGCAGTGTACTGCCTGTACTCTTTATGAACAATGTAACAATAGAACACTAACTGACAGTGAATATCAATGACACCGAGGTGCATTAAGTTACACAGAATTCATGTGGAAGATAAGTGAATCTAAGTGGACTAGGCCTAAGCCTCTCTTCCCCAGTCAAGTCACCAGTAAAGTACTATAAAATAAAGCATTTAACGATTAATTTTTTTGGGGGGGATCAGTACTATGGCTATTTATATTGTGCAGTGTCAGGGAACAGAGCGTGGATTACATAGTACAAAATTGGAAGTGACTATGAATGATTAAGTTGGAAGGATATGGAAGAAAATTGTTATACACGTAAGTTTAAGGTACCATTAAAGGATTTGAATAAAAAATGTAATAGTTAGAGCCATCCCTGTAACAGGCCGTGAAAGCCCATCGCTTTGTGAGACGTAGAGGCTCCCACATTTTCTACACAATCGACTCACTGGTAGCGGAAAGGTTATTAGCTTTACGCACCGGCCGCCCTTTACCCCCAAGGAAGTTTTTCTGGTACTCATTTCTGCTAGAGGCTGAGTCGCCACTGATTGGCCTATTGTACCTGCCCTGGGTGATTATGATGATGGAGCAATTGGTGGAATGAAGATTTGGCAGGGGAAACCCGCCCCAGCGCCACTATGTCCACCATAAATCCCACTTGACCAGACCCGGAATTGAACCCGGGCCGCCGTCGTGGGTAGCCAGCGACTAACCGCTTGAGCTATGGCGCCGCTATATCTCAGGGCCATGGTGTGGCTGGAAGGATTAGGTCAATTGAGAAAATTCACCTCATCGGGACTCGAGCCCGCGACCTTCCGGCTTGTAGCATAGTGTCTGAACCAACTACACTACCGCGTGTCCCCAAAGTATTTGAATAGAGATGATAACGTTACGAAATTCTATGCTAGAATTCCCAGTGTTACCTACACAGTTTAACCGGGAACATTCCGAATAGGACCCAGGAATGTTAAAGTCACTGAACTGCAGCAGCCGATGCGACATAGGCCCTACATAATGGCCAGTTTGAGAGAGGGAGGGACATAAAGCCATTTATAGATACACAGTCTGACAAGTGTTCCCGCTTGGACACTTCGAGTAACATTGAAAGCCAGAACCGTCTCTCACAATGCTTAGTCTCACTCACTCACCCATGGAGCTGAGCCCTTCTTGAGAACCCACCAATTCTGCAACTACTCAAGAATTTCCCAGCATTTCATGGAACCCGAATGTTTATTACCGTGTTCACAAAGCCCTCCACTGGTCCCTATCCTGAGCCAGATCAATCTAATCCATACCGTTCCATCCTATCTCTCTAAGATCCATATTAATTTTGTCTACCCACCTATGTCGTGGTCTTCCTAGTGGTCTCTTTCCTTCTGGCTTTCCCACCAATATCCTATATGCTTTCCTCCTCCTCCCCATTCGTTCTACAGTCCCTGCCCATCTCTTCCTCCTTGACTTGATCTTTCTAATTATACTTGGAGAAGAGCACAAGTTATGAAGCTCCTCATTATGCAGTTTTCTCCAACCTCCTGTCACTTCATCTCTCTTCGGTCCAGATATTCTCCTCAACACCCTGTTCTCAAACACCCTTAGTCCACGTTCCTCCCTTAATGTCAGAGACCAAATTACACACCTATACATAATCACAGGCAAAATATAATTCTGTATATTCTAATTTTTTTAGACAGCAGACGAATGTTAAGTCTGTAGTGAATATACTTTGAATATCATTGCGAGATAATGTACAAGCAGAAGCCCCTACAGAAAATTCTAATGGGTATGTACCCCTTCATTGTGGGCTGGATATTTCCAAATGTTTTGTCGCCGAAAATATTTTCGTTCCAGCACATCAGTAGTTACTCTATACTCAAATGCATTTTGTACGATAAGTACATATTACATACAAACTTTACTTAGAACTAGTAAGCATGATTTAATTAAGCTAAATTATGACTGAGGTAGTAGGAAGGTAAATTTAGTTACTTCTCGATATTCACTGATTGTCCCATCGTACGGTGCGATGAAACCTGAGTTGCCAAAGGCGCTGTTATGCACGTCGCAGAACTGCCTAACTTAGACAGCAGCCTACCGCTGCTGCAACAGCAACAGCAACTAAGATTGGAATGCAATGAATTATACAAAAATATGTTGCTGAAATATTTTGAAAGTCATCAGTCGTGAAGGCAATGTCGTGAAGGGGATGGGAGGATAGTATTCAGATGTATCTACGGAAAGGGTTTGCGCGAACGGAAAGGATTTTACTGGTTCTGGATAGCGTAAAATGGATGAGTTGCTTTATATTAACGGCGATGAACCTTCGGGTTCTGCTTGCTCATTGTTAGTTACTATATTGATGATAGTGGTGGTAATATTGTATTATGGCAATACAATTTAATTCAATTTTTTAAGTGTTTCCTCGACAGCCCAAAGGCAAATTATAAAGTAAGTATGAGCAGACACATACTCGTAAATAAATAAAAGACAAATAGAAGCACCTTGTATCATTCAGAAAATACCACATGAGTTAATGCAATTACACCAACAATTTCGTTCTAAGATAATAATAATAATAATAATAATAA